GGAGGAAATGAAGAAGAAAGAAAGAAAGAAAGAAAGAAAGAAAGAAAGAAAGGAAGGAAGGAAGGAAGAAAGAAAAAATGTGTTTCTTTAACAAGTTTTATATCAGCTTTAAAATTTCAGGCTTGTCTGATATCGAGAACTCCAATTCTGTGAGACTGTCTCACCGGCTTTTGGCGATACTGAGGGTCTTGCACTTTAGTTTTAATTCCTAAGATTTCACCCCTCTTAAAGAACAGATTTTATCCGTTTCACATCGAGTTATCAAAAACTGTTGCATTTTGAAACTAAAAATTGCGGTAGCCCATAAAAATTTATGTCTCATAAAAAAAGGTATGTCCAAGAAAAATGACACAAAAAAGGTGTACCGCTTATGTTAAAGATGAGTGACTTAGTTACCTGAACAATTTGAAATAAAATGGCCATCATCACTTTCTCCCCAAGAACATTTGCCATGTTACGACTTACACAACTTTTTATGAAATGAACTTTAAACTGTAGTTCATAACTAATTACACATACAAAAATTTTAAAAATTCATCAGTCATTGTTCAATTAATATATTTTGAAAGTAATTGAATTCAAGGGTTAGCAGGTGGTACAACAGTAACAGCTCTTTTACTCCGACGAAGGACTAGCGTCCGAAACGTCAGTAAGCTTTTTCATCTTTTCACGGTGTATAATTTACCTTTTTATCATTACTAGTCTAGTAATTTCTAAAAAGTTCTTTTTTCCTCTCATAAAAACTGATGACCAACTCCAATGTCATTTAATCTAGTTACTTATCTTTTATCTTCTGAAAATAGTGCTGTAAAATAATAAATAAATAAATATTAAATTATAGATCACTCAAATTCTCCCCTCGATTTTCTCGAAGTCTATAATGCCTTAAACTTTCGAATGACAAACAAATGAACTCAGTTGGATACAAGACATAGGTGTGGCTGTTATACGTCTTAACAAAATTCTGTTAACGGATTTGATTTAACTCGGGTCTTTGAAAATTGTTCATTTTTCAGGAAAAAAATGCATTTTAAACTCCGCTATTTTTCATCATATGAATTTGTTTAATTTTTGTCCCACCTGTTGACCTTATTCAGCATTTTTATCCAGCATCTAATTCATTAAATATTTATAGGTGAATATTTTAATAATCCAATTTATATTTAACGTGATTAGCCCCAAACAATTTTTTGAAACTAATTTCATAAAGGGTTGTGTAAGTCGTAGCTTGATAAACGCTCATGTTCTCAAAGGAGACACGATATTAATGATAACTCTGAACAAAAATAAGTGGGGATTTGGGGATGAGTTGGGTATGTATTTGTGCGCAGGGACTGGGAAATGCTGGCTCCTATTGGTAGACATGCAGTCATACTGCCCATAAGCACCATAAGGGACTTGCAGAAAGTTACGGTGGCCCATAAGGGACTAGACTTATAGACCACCGTAGCTTGCTGCAAGTCCCTTATGGCAGGTCTCCGTGACTTGCTGCAAGTCCCTTATGGGCCACCGTAACTTGCTGCATAACAGATTAGATTTAGTCCGAGAAACAAAAACATATATACATCACCGTTGCAGTCTAGCTTCGGTACAAAAGGGTTTCCATATTGAATTTTTTGAGTTTGAAATGAATTGTTTATTCATTTATAATCAAATTCATATTTGAAATTACAATAGCTTAAAGTAATTTATAAAATTTTTGATTATGAATTGGAGTCTATGTAGGAATTATAATTTTTGTATTAAACTTAAAAAAGATAAAGTAAATCTTGATTACTCCTTGTTTTATGAGGGTATAACAGATTATAAAGCACGAATTAAAGGTTTTTTCCCTTCTTGCCCTCATTCCTGGTCAAATTAGGATTTGAATTGTCGAGAGGCGACGCATTATCAGCGCACGCTGCCCAAGCTAGACTAAAATGCATCACGTTTATTAAACTCAGAAAAAACGCTTTCAATTTTTTCCAACGTCAGTGCTGGATAAAATACTGTCATGACTCACCTGACATGTCAAACAGTATTAGCACCAGCCAGCTAATTGCACTCACCACAATAGATACTCCATAGGATTTAAAGATTAGTTAGGATTAACTTAATTGACTCACAGTCTTAATTTTTCTTAGTGGCATCCAAATTTGCTAACAAATAACTCCTGGGAGGGGTGAAGGACTAGAGAGAGGATAAAAACGACTTGACGGGGTAAGATGTCGAGAAAGTCATAAGAACCGAGGAAGGTGAAGAGGAGGGATTAAAAGCAAAAGAATATGTTATAGCGAAGTACATGTAGCCAAGCTGTAAGGAATTTGTCTGTCTGTCCGCAAGAGTCGCATTCATTTAGGAACTTTTCAAATGCACTGAAAATCATTCCAGTCTGTTTACTTTATGCGTTTAATTTTAAGATTTTTTTATTTTAATATATGTTAAATTTAATTTTCTTTAGCACCGTTTCAGAAATCTACTGGGTTATTTTTAAAACAGACTTGAAACCATAGAGCTTGGGCTTCCTGTGGGTGTATATATGAGCCGTGTAAGATTTACATGCAAATAATAACATGGATAGCTTTTCAAATCTTCTTGAAAATAAAGATAAGAATGCAAATAGATAAGGCTGAAAACTTCTCTTGTTTCACATTTTGAAACAACCCTCGTCAAGTGACCAGCTGGCGACTGTCCGCCCCCTCCCCCCCCTCCCCC